GCCCAAAATAAAAGGACCATGTACAACTTAATGTTAATACAAATGAGGTTTGCAGTTTTTAACGGACCCCTTAATGTAATAATCATTTAGACAACTGTAGGCTTAGTAATAATAATCATTTAGACAACTGTAGGCTTAAATGTAATAATCATTTAGACAACTGTAGGCTTAAATGTAATAATCATTTAGACAACTGTAGGCTTTAATGTAATAATCATTTAGACAACTGTAGGCTTTAATGTAATAATCATTTAGACAACTGTAGGCTTTAATGTAATAATCATTTAGACAACTGTAGGCTTTAATGTAATAATCATTTAGACAACTGTAGGCTTAAATGTAATAATCATTTAGACAACTGTAGGCTTTAATGTAATAATCATTTAGACAACTGTAGGCTTAAATGTAATAATCATTTAGACAACTGTAGGCTTTAATGTAATAATCATTTAGACAACTGTAGGCTTTAATGTAATAATCATTTAGACAACTGTAGGCTTTAATGTAATAATCATTTAGACAACTGTAGGCTTTAATGTAATAATCATTTAGACAACTGTAGGCTTTAATGTAATAATCATTTAGACAACTGTAGGCTTTAATGTAATAATCATTTAGACAACTGTAGGCTTTAATGTAATAATCATTTAGACAACTGTAGGCTTTAATGTAATAACCATTTAGACAACTGTAGGCTTTAATGTAATAATCATTTAGACAGCTGTAGTCTTTAATGTAATAATCATTTAGACAACTGTAGGCTTTAATGTAATAATCATTTAGATGACTGTAGTCTTTAATGTAATAATCATTTAGACAACTGTAGGCTTTAATGTAATAAGATCAAATTAGGGGTGAAAAGTTTATGAGGTTAGATTAAGGCTAGTCACCCCTTGAATACATGTTCTACATTAGACTATTATAGTGTAAAATATCCCATCACAGTTTACACTTGTGGTTGACCTACTTCTAATACAGCTGACAGAGTGGATATAGAATATATCCGCCTGTTGCTAGATCTGTCTGACCTTAGTCAGAGATTACATCATAGAATCTGCCTGTAGATAGACCTTTAATATAGGTGACAACTGTCTGACTGTAGTCACAGAATACAACATAGAAAACTTCTGCCTGTAGGTAGACCTTTAATATAGGTGACAACTGTCTGACTGTAGACACAGACTACATCATAGAATACATCTGCCTGTAGGTAGACCTTTAATATAGGTGACAGCCTTTAATGACAACCTTTAATGACAACCTTTAATATAGGTGACAGCCTTTAATGACAACCTTTAATATAGGTGACAACTGTCTGACTGTAGACACAGACTACATCATAGAAAACTTCTGCCTGTAGGTAGAACTTTAATACAAGTGACAGCCTTTAATGACAGCCTTTAATGTAGGTGACAGCCTTTAATATAGGTGACAGCCTTTAATAAGTTATGTCTGATTGAAATCTTGATATACATCAGGAAAGATTGTCTGACACAATTTTTTTGCTAGTTTTTTGAGGTCACAAGAGACAATGTAACACAAACAAGACTAAAGACAGTTTTACTCTAGATAATTCAACTTCACACACAGTATAATAGATTTGAATAAAAACTGTGACAGTTAGAGGAATGTTCCCAGTAGAAGGTAGATATTACTATTAGAATTTCTTTTACTTAATATTAACTAAGTTAATGTTCCTGAGAGTAGGGGTGAGTGTAATATGGTGCAGTATACAGTAAGCTAGACTAGGTAG